AGAGTATTCATCCAACTACAGCTCCTTGCAAAAGTATTCGGCCCCTTTTCAATCTTTTGCATCCTTTTACGCTTCAAACATAAAGATTTAAAGCTGTAATTTTAGTAAAGAATCAACAACTGGGACGGAATCATGAAGTGGAATGACATTTATTTGATATTTTAAACTTTTGGAAGAAAGGGTTGTAAAGGGATTTGAAAATATTTTATGCTATACATGAAGTGAATTGAACAGAATTAATAAAATATATGACTCCAAACCCATGTTAGAGTCCTAATCCTCAGACATCACTTTAAGGTGCAACAATGTGTGGACTTTCCTAGATATCCTCACAGGATTCATAAACATCCAAACTCTGAAGACCTAAAATCAAAATGAGTCCTTTGAAACACTGATGAACAAGCATGAAAAAAAAGTTATGATGTGTGAGTGTGAATTTACAGTGTGAAGTTTGTGGTCTGGTGGTTTATGGACTTCCTCTGTTTAGGCGATTAGCTGTGAGCTCACCCCCCCGCCCCACAAACACACACACACGTAAACAAACACACAGTAACACAGTCAGAGTCAGAGAAGCTTAAAGACGTGCTGCTTACTCAGATGCATCTTCAACACTCCTCTCTCTTTTGCACTCTCTATCATTGATAGCTTGTATTTCTGTGTGATTAAACTTATTAAACAACAAAAATAGTAAAACCACAAAGATTTGAAACAATGAATTTGTAGCACCGAAGTAAACGTTTATTTCCAGGCGTCTTTTCTTGCTAGTTTTTACTTACGAAGGTTGTAATGCTACGTTCACACCAGAAGCAGCAGAAGCAGTGAGTTTACATGCAAAGTCAATGGTTGACGCGCGTCAAGGCGCAGCACAAGGTCCCACAGCGCGTTTTGAGCAGCAGGCGCAGCGCGTCTGAGCAGCTGAAGCAGTGCGTCGGGAGCGTTTAAGCATCTGACGCGCGTGACGCGCCGCAAACGGGCTCCTGCTCGAGATGGAAAAATTTTACTTTTGCTGCTCGATGCACCACATCAACCAATCAGAGAAGCTGATCTGGGAGCTGGCAGAGAGACAGACACATCGCTGATGATACAGAGCGCTGTGATCACTCCTCTGAAACAGTTTATTGACGCATAAATTAACTTAAAATGCTGAAACCTGCTGGCAGAATATGTTCGCTTCTATTATCCTGCTGCCTGCAGTTTGGATTATTTAGATGAAAAACACCTACCAGCCGCCGCGGTGAACCGCAAGGAGGCGACCGGGCCAGAGGCTGCTGTTGAATGGGATTCCTACTGACAGCGTACCGCTGGTATGTGGGGGTCTGAGCGGCTCCGACAGAAATAATATTGGAAGGTGGGATTGTAATTTGTAATGAATTTGTAATGGATTGTAATGATCTGACTGCACTAATTCAGTT